ATTGAATGGACTGAAGTCGGCTCCTTGTGCGGATTCTCCTAAAGACTAAACCTGAGGCGGCCCAATTGGTGTTTAGAATGATGGTTACCGGGGTTTCAGCCTCAATGGGAACACCATCAATGACTCACTGGGGAATGCAGGTACATCCAGTTGACGAGTTAATCCTAAAAATGACGAAATACGCGTTATCCATCCACCAAACTACTTCGGATTAAAATAACTCAGAAGAATCATTAATTTTACAAGTGAAAACAATACGAAGTATTGAAGAAATAAAACGTGACTCTGTATAATGTCAAGAAAGGTTTGTTTTTTGATATACTACAGGCAATTATTATTAATTGGATGACATTTACGTCACCGCATTATGTCAGATGTTTCATTCTTATGATAAAACATAATGATACTGACATTTGACACGAATACCAATAAGTATCAGGTTAAGAATTCACTTCATCTGAGAGCAGCAAATAAGAATAGGATTGTGTACATACACACAGGCGGAACGAACGAAGATGTCAAAGCCAGATAGTCAGAATCGGAAAGGTAAGACACGCCTTTATCAACCTGAAACCAGTTTGGAAATCTTCTGCATTCCACAGCATAAAGAACAAGATTCGGATTTTTAACACCAGTGTGAAGTCGGTCATTGCTTCTATACGGGTCAGAAACTTGCACTGCGTGTGAGACACGAAAAGGATTTCCAACAGCCTGTTGCAGACTTTCATCAACAGCTGGTTTCAATGGTTCCATACTGAAGATCAAATAACCGACCAGAAAGAGTAAGCAACAAGAAACTATGGGAACAAACCAACCAAGAGCCGATCACTCAACAAATTTACAGGAGAAAAAGGAGATAGATCAGGCATCCGTTGAAGAAGCCATCGAATGACATCGCATGCCAGTCCCTCGAGCGGAATCCAAATAGGCAGCGAGAAGTGGGTTGTCATTGCAAGGGTGACATGGAGGAGATCGTGTGACGAAGAGATGAGAGAGTTTAGTCAATCGTGGACCCAGCTGAAGAGGATGGCAGAAGATGGGACAAAGTGGAGATGTGTTATTGAAGCCCTGTGTTCCTCTCGGAACGCAAAGGAATAATGATAATACACACACACACAAACACAGAAAATGTAACTGGACAAACAGTCATTCTTGTCTAAGGTTAACTGGATAAACTATTAAACTAGTCGTGGAAATATTGAATTTTCTTCCAAATTGGCAAAGTTTTCACTAACGTACCATTCAAATGCACCTCATTCAAATTTTAAATAACACCATCGTATTCTAGATCTTAGATAATTTACTTAAAAAAACTACTCAGAATTATAGGTGCATTGTTTAAAGCATCGATCGATAGATGTTTCCCTCCTTTGCTTTCCTAGTGGAACATGGGACTTCAAGCTCCAAGCTTCGAGATTTCAGTAGCTATAGTGTTGATGTTATTTTTACACGGTAGAGCTGCTAGTCTCCCTCCAAACCTTCCTTCTTTATCAGGCTTACTGCTAGCTAAGCTAAGTTTAGGAGTGCTGTTGTCTGGAAATCGAATCTCAACCCCTTGCATGGTTGATGAGTGGAAGATAATATATTTATCTAAAAGATTTGCAGGTTAAACCGATTGAATGTAGAGTAATTGATACAAGATCGATAAGAGAGTTAGATGTTGGCTAAGATGACAGTCTCGGGCGAAATGTATTCAAGATTAAGTTAACAGCCTTCAAAGTGGCTGCAGATAGACAACAATTCAAGTTCAAAATCCAGAAGTTGAAAGGCAGAAACCAAAATAGGAAACACTTTCACTACAAACATCAAGAAAAGTCGGATATACTATGTGACGTCATCAAGCAAATCAGCGTGGAAGGACACTGGAACTTCCTGAAAGAATCCTATGTAAATATCCTTGGCAAGAAAGGGAGGCAAAGCATGCAGTTGTGGATTACGGACACTGTGAAACATATGGAGGAGAAAAGACCGATGAAGCACTAGTTAAACCATTGTGGAGATGAACAAGTGCAGCAGAATCTGGGTACAACCTACGGCAAACTGAACACGTGAATGATGAAGATTGCAAGGTAAAACTAAGTACACTTTCACGACACATCAACCAATAAAACAGAACAGGCAGCAAGTAAGTGGGACTTCAGAACTCTTCATCAAATGATCAGGTCGCAATATGGGAAGATATGAAGGTAGATGAAACCAGTGGAAGATACTGAAGATAACACGATTAACAAAGATGTGGAACGAAGAAAACATCCGGATATAATAACGATAGCTGGTACTGAATTTTCATTGAACATCAATCACTAAACAAAAACGGAAATCTTGGGGACAATAAATTTACTGAAAGCCATCGATAAAAGCAGTACAGCCGGAAAGAATTAACGCAGAAGGACTGAAAATATACCCAGAGACCTCATCGGACATACTGACTCCACTACTGAAGAAAGTGTATATCGAAGCCATCTGCCGACTGGAAGAAAGGCCATCTCATTAAACCACTGAAGAAGAGCGAAAACAGCTTACGTGTGAACTGGAACAGCATCATTCCTCTGCTCACTACTGGCCAAATATTATTTTGAATCCTTCTGAGACAATGCTCTGTATGGAAGAGTTCTCCAAGAACAATCCCACTGGAATCATGGAAACAATCATGCAGGAAACCAGCAAGAACACTACACACCATTATCGAACACAGCATAGAGCAGCAGTCAAATATCTGTCCTAATTTTATCAATTTTTACAAGACCTTAGACAGCCTCGACTAGAAAACAATATGGCAGCTTCTTCAGCCTCAGACATAATATAACTCTTATTCTTAAACTAATTGTTTGATGGTTCTGCTTGACAAGTAATTCACGAAGGTAAGCCCACTGAGATGTTTGAAGTGAAGACAGGAGGAAGATAACGCCGTTCACTATCACAAGTGAATTTCTTGATAGCTCTGGATTCGATCAGGAAACTGACCTTACGTGGTGTGGAAAGACATGCATACATTGGACTGGCAGAAAGACTCTAGGAGACCTGGATTTCAAGCATGATCTATGTCGCGTGTCCCACAAACTCAAAGACTTACAAACAAAAATCGACAAGTTAGCAGAAGAGACAGACAACTAAGGCAGGAATTCATTGAGGAGGACATAGAGAAGACAGAAGGAATAAAGATACCCAACGGTCAACACTGATAATAAGCATCTGAGATATTGCATGGAGGATTTCATCATGAGCTGACATCAGTTAGAGAACCACTGGAAAACCTGGGAGTACTGGACAGCTGTTTCGCCCCAGTCTGGGACGCTTCATAAGTACGCACCCATCGAGGTATGGTTATCTTTTCCAATTACTTATCTGAACAGGGTCATTTCATTCACGTTGTGTAACCAGGGTAATAATATCAGAGTCAGATAGTTTTGACAAGCAAAACACGATTAACAGACCTCCATTACAGCATTTAGCACGATTAACACTGCCCAAATTCTGTTTAACACTAATGCCTAGTCAGTCACTGCCTCTATGTAACTAAAAGGCTTGGCACGCGAGGCAGTACCAACAGAATTTCATCAACAACTGCCATCACTGTCTCGAAACTCAAGATCTGATGGTCGGGAATCAGGTTTCGAAGTCGTGTCATTATATTTGATATGATTAGGAATAATAAATAAATTGGGTTCGGAACCTTGTCATCCAGTAAAGAATACTTTTTCACTGACTGCGCGATACATCTAATAAACAAACTAATGTGGGACTAATTTCTTATTTTCTGATAATCTCACTACTCCCGATCTACTACTGGTTTGACCTGTGTAGTTGACCTCACTCACAGTCATTGCAAGGTATTCTATATCACACATATCTTATATTGATTTTATTCAAATATCTAATGAATGAATTTTACTCATGTACATAACGGAGAAAGAAAGTTGTGTGAGTGAGTACCTTGATATGAATATGAGCTGCAGTAATAAATTGCGGTGCTCGAAACGTGGTCATCAGTGAATATAACTGTATAACACTACATTGTGTGGTACTTTATCAAAAGTAAAAATTTTATCCATAATGGAACAATACCATTATTATTTACTTTATTTTGATTTAAAGCTTGATTCCACACCGTATTTTCAGTACAAGTGTGGAATTTTCAGCATGGATATCGGCAGCCCAAATTCAGGCCAACCATAGATATCGGGTGTGCGCCGGCAGGGGATCGAACCCCGGGCCATGTGCATGGTCGGCGAGAGTCCTAACCACTGTGCCGCCGACGCATCACGAGGAATAAAGAAGCTTCCATATTGTTTTGTAGTCGAGACTGCCTAAGGTCTTGTAAAAATTGATAAAATTAGGACAAATATTTGACTGCTGCTCTACGCTGTGTTCGATAATGGTGTGTAGTGTTTTGGCTGGTTTCCTGCATGATTTGATTCCATAAATGCAGAGAGCTTGTTCTTGGAGAACTCTTCCATACAGAGCATTGTTTCAGAATGATTCAAATTAATATCTGGCCAGGAGTGAACAGGGGAATGATGCCGTTCCAGTTCACACATAAGCCTATGCTGCTCTTCTTCAGTGGTTTAATGAGATAGCTTTCCTTCGAGACGGTAGATGCCTTCAATACACACCTTCTGAAGTAGTGGAGTCAGTATGTCCGATGAGGTGTCTGGGTATATTTTCAGTCCTTCTGCGGTAATTCTTTCTTTCCGGTTGTACTGCTTTTATCGATGGCTTTCAGTAAATTTATTGTCCCTGAGATTTTGGTTTTTGTTTGATGAGTGGTGTTCACTAAAAATTCTGTACCGGCTATCGGTAATATACCTGGGGACCGAAAATCTCACCTTTTAATTGTCTATTCAATGACTGACTTGCATACAACGGTCACTCATCTCTTTCAGGCTTTACAGTCTCTATCCTTCTTATAGTCTTTGTAATTAATCTTTGACAAATTCATAATTTGTTCATTTAATTAATCAATTGATTAATGAATTAATTAATCAATATAATTAACTTACCAAACCAAGTTACAGTATAATCATCAATATTCACAGGACTAACTCTTTCACCAGGTTTCTCAATAACTCCTTCTATTCTACGAATAAGTTCAGTATACGTCACATCTTCAGGATCGCCTTTCACTGCCCATCGATAAACATCTTGTAATTTATGATTATCTTGTATTCTTTCAACAACTAATTTAAACAGTGGCATTTACAAAACGAAAGTTTCGATGAAGTCCAAGAAGATTCACGTTGAAATTGGCACCACAAATATCTGTTAGAGGCAGACAATCAAGTGTCAGAAGGCAGTGATTATTGATAGGTTGTGAAATAATTGGAGGTATACAGAGGCAATCGTTTAGCCTAATTAATGCTTTTATATATATCTCGCTTAAATCAATAATTACACTGATGTATGCGCTAGTGTTGCTAAAGTATTAAAGCCTAGCATACTTCAATAAGATTGACGTTAGCAAAAAAAAATGGTTTACATTTGTTATAGATGTCGTCAAGAAAATAGCAGAGTAAAATGCTGTTTTTGCAGGGAATTCAAATGTGTGGGTGAATATGCATCTTTGGGTGTGTGTGTGCGTGTATCATGTAGTTTAAACACTACTGCCCTGTACTTATGCACATAAATTGTCGGAGGAATAAACCATCTTCTCAATTATATATTTTGTGCAGTAATCCGATAATCATAAAAATTTCTTCTATGGCTTTTTTCTTTTTTGGCTAATCGACAAAAAAGCATAAGATCACATGATCATTTTTGGTAGAACACAAATTTATCAGAAGAACTGCAGAAATCGATTTTTGGAGAGGTTTTTTCTTTTCTATTTATACTGCTCAATTGTTGTTAGTGTGGGTTGTAATTTACTATGCTATGACTTGTGTCTGTTTTTCATTAAAGGTTGGTGATAATAATTGGTAAGAAGCCACAACTGATGACCTGGTTGAATTTGAGCTACCGAAAAAAATTCCATCGATATTTCATGGAGATCTTCTCCCGTTCAATTTGTTTAAATTTGATAAAATATGACCTTGAATTACGTTTTATACTCTGGCGGGTATTTTAAAGTGCGTACAACTTGCTGATTCACAAGTTTCCAGTTATCGTGAGAACAAGAAAACATAATCAAGGGTTGGGGTGTATTGATTGCAATGCAAGAGACAGCTAGCTGTTCTTGGGTTTTGTCCTTGTCTTGCAGAATGGATTCCTGAAACTTTTCTAATTACCATTCAATCATATTACGTGCATTTATTGAAGAAGACGAAAGAGAGGTTGCGTGTTTGTTGGCACTCACCAGTTAGTCAGCAAGCACGCGTATTTGTACTCATTTCGAGGGAATTGATGTCTCCTCTGAGATTCGAACCCATGTCAGCTACCCATTGCTGCAGTCACAGTCAAAGACGTTGCTACTGAGGTATTCGGGCTCACTATTGACCTCCTGTAAGATTGTATTAAAAACTGTGATTGGACACTAACTAATGCCGTGCATCTGGTCCCTTGACGATATTAGATGGTTGGACGCAATCGGCAGGAAGCCTTGGAATTAGGTTTCGTGCTAGTCAGCACTCGTTAGCAAGGCGTATCTGAAACCATGTTGAAGGAACTCACGTCCCTTCATTCAATGCTGCAGTCAGAGACGTTACCACTGTGCTATTCGGACTCGCGACTGACCTCCAGCATGAATGAATCCAATCACAGAAGGGATATGAGTTCCTTCAACATGGTTGCAGATACGCCTTGCTGACTGACTGATGAGTGCTAGCTAGCACGAAACCTAGGTGGAAGGCTTCCTTCCGATTGCCTCTAACCATCTAACATCATCAAATCAATAAGAACCGTGATGGCGAGCTACCTAGAATGGTGACCACACTGCCTACCTGACTGATAGGCACATTACACTAGTTACTAGTGGCCAGTCAAAGTATCGAGTCCTTTGTTTGGAGCAGAGTTAATTCTGTCAGTTAAGTTTGTAATGTGGTCACCATACCACCAGGTGGTTGTCAATGACGGTGCACTCAGAAGTGTTGTTATCGAGAGATCGAATAGGTCATCGGTAACGTCTTTTGAATGTGACTGCAGCAGTGAGTAAGTGACAAAGGTTCGAATGTCAGAAGCGACATAAATTCCTTCAAGATTGGGGATATGCCTTAGTGACAAGTCCCAACGAACATGAAATCTAGGTCACACTGGGCTTCCTGCCAATTCCCTCTAGGCACTGCTATCGAAACTTCAGACCTCTAGCTTGAAGACCTGCGTTGCACTCGGAACGTAAACGAATATAATAAAATACAATAAATAATAAATTACTTGTGTTTAGGCTAATTTTCATTTCACATTAATTGACATTGTTGGAGTGAAGTTGTTATGTATGAGATATTAGGACCTTGTAGACTATGAGCGAATCTAACTTAATGCACTGGCTAATCTGTCCTAATCGCACGTCAACAACAACAACAATACCGCCGGGCACGCAAGACAAAGAAAGAAGACTGGACGTTGATACGAGAGCTTTTAGTGTCTCTAACAACAGTCGAAATGTTAAACAAAAACTCCGTATTTATACAGTTAGGAAAATCAATGTCACATTTTAAAATATTAACAAACCATGGGAATTCAGTTATTAAATGCGAGTGCAAATAATCAATAATCATGCAGATGCGGGAAATCAATGATCATTATTATTATTTATTATTATTCCCTTTAGTTCCTAGAGGAACATAGGGCTTCAGCCGTGCGTCTCCATTGCGTTAGGTCCTCTGCTAGAGTTTTCACCTGGCTCCACGTCTGCCCATACGCTTTCAATTCTTCTTCACATGATCTCCTCCAGGTCACCCTTGGACGACCAACTCGTCGCTTCCCTTTCGGTTTCCACTCGAGCAATGGCTTGTCTAGTGATGTCACTTGCTGGTTTCCTCAGAGTGTGGCCAATCCATCTCCATTTCTTCCTGCCTTTTTGTTTCACAATCGGTTCCTGGTTGGTTCGCTCCCAGAGATCTTTGTTGCTGATACTTTCCGGCCATCTGATCTTGAGTATTGAGCGAAGACAGCTGTTGATGAAGGTCTGTAGCTTGTTTGAGGTGCTCTTTGTGACACGCCAAGTCTCTGATCCGTATAGTAGTACTGACTTCACATTGGAGTTGAAAATCCGGATCTTATTTTTGACGCTGAATGTTGCTGACCTCCATACAGACTTGAGAGTAATGAAAACTTTTCTTGCTTTCCCGATCCTTGCTTTGATATCCTCGTCAGTTCCGATCAATGATCATGCACGTGTGGGAAATAAACAATCATGCAGGCGCAATCAATACTGATGAGTCACCTGTGTATATATCAGAAGTGCTCAGTCTCTGTCTAAGCATATCAGCTCCTAGTAGAGCGGACGCCCCAGTAATGTTCGGAGATCACCGTGACGTTATTTTGAACATATCATGTCCAATAAGAAACGGTCATGGTTCAGTGACCAAGTGGTAAACACTGAATTGTTTCAAATTATTGGTTTGAATCTCAGTGGGGAGACCATCATTCCCTACAGATGCTGGTATGAGTTCGAAAAAGACGAAAATCACATCCAGAAATCCGCGTCGGTGGCACAGTGGTTAGGACTCTCGCCGACCATGCACATGGTCCGGGGTTCGATCCTCTGCCGACGCACACCTGATATCAATGGTCGGCCTGCAAAATTTGGGCTACCGATATCACATGCTGAAAATTCCATACTTGTACCAAAAACACTATGTGGAATCAAGCTGTAATAGAAAATGACCTTAGGGTTCTGTGATATTTATTGCCTATTTACCAAACGAATTATCACCATCTTGTCGCTCATATTCACGTTTATCCAGGCATCATAACACTGTAATCTCTGTGACAACGTTCAAATATTAGACAGAGGAAACACCAAGAATGCTAGATAACTTCTAGAAGCCTGGTATTCCAGTGAATTGTCAATGAATAGACACACCGAGATAGACAAAATATACCAATCGATAAGATGGGAATCTCACACGCAAAGGGTCAAACTTCAGGTTGAAGAAACAATCAATACCAATACTAGTAGCCTAGAGGGTGTAAAAACACACAATCACTTTCAAGGTTGCCCACCAGGAGAGATGACTAATAAACTTGTGGAGAAATCTAACAGCTCAAATTGAAGTATGCGCTGAAGATATTAGCTAATGTTGGGCAATGAAAGCTTCGTAGATAAACCACCATCCAGCTCAGAGAACACAACCACATCGAAATCATTGTAATCTCTAGATTCTATAAACAAGAAAACAACCATAGGGGTTGCATTTAGGAAAACACCTGTCGTAAGCTTATTTTATTGAGATCAAATTGAATAGCTTATGCTGTCAAAAGATTATAATGTTAGATTGCTTCTGTTTTGAAATGTGTGTTTCATTCTTCGCCTACGTAGAACTGGTGGACAAGTTTTATCTGAGGAATATTTCCACTACAAAACAAGTTCAAAGTTAGAGCACGAACCAACTTCAATTGAAGTGAAACATTCAAAACTAGAGAGTACTGAACACCTGTTTCGTCCCAGTTTAGGACCCAACAGCAGTAAGCACCCACCAACCATCACACCCACCACACTCAGGTAGTGGCGCCATCCTGTTTACCATTCAGACATTGAGATGGAACGCAGTGAACTGTCAATCAATTGTTAGTTTCAGTCTGATTTAGGGTAGGATTAAGGTAGGGTTATGATTAAAGTTAGGTTGAACCTTGTGACGAAGATTATAAAAAAGCATCATTTTGTAATGCTGAGTCATCTGATTGGTGGGTTCAAGGTCATTTGAATATAATGTCCATTCTTTTCTGTTGCCGTTTTTCAAATGAAGGTGATTTCTTCGTGAAAACTGAGGTCATTCAAGTTCCTACAAAAGAACACTTGAGAAGTTCTCCAGTTCTTACCGTCTCGAAAGGGATGTCTGCAGGAAAGATGTTTAGTGCGGCTTGCGAACGCAGTAAGTATTACTTCGTTAATTCATATCAACTGAAGTTTGTTATCTGTGAGAGTTTTGTTTTTCGATATTTTGAGAATACAATGCCGGTATGAAAAGCATATGAAATCCCTCTAGAAGATTTTATAAAGCTGCCAGTATAACTGCTGTGAAGTTTACTAGCTGCTTTTCAATAAGAATGGCTTCCTTCTCTGTACAATGCTTAGGTATACCGTACAAGTAGCACTAAACTCAGTTGACAGGACAAGGAATGATAAGCTCTTGATCTGGTTGTGTTCACTGAGCTGAATAGTTAATTTGCGGAGCTTTCATTGACATACTAGGCGACATCTTCAGCGCGTACTTCAATTTGTTGGATTGAGCTTTTAGATTTCTCCAAGAGTTTGTTAGTCATCTCTCCTGATCACCTTGAACTTGATTGGTTGTTTTTCTGTGTTTACACACCCTCTCGTCTACTTGTATTGGAACTGATTGTTTCCTTGACTTGAAATTTGACCCTTTGTGTGTGAGATGTCCTTCTTACCGGTTGGTGAATTTTGTATAGTTCTATGTGTCTATTGA